AAAAAAAAAAAAAGAATCATGTATGCAATCATCATGGTACCTACTGTCTTATTTACTTGAAGCTATCTTACCAGCTGTAAAGGATGGGGGTCAGAATGAAGGCATACACCTCACCTCAGTGGAAAGTAGTTTTTTTGTGTCTAGGTCAGTGGTGTGAACCTATGGTACATGGGTCCCCGACAGTTGCTCCATCACTGAAAGCTCTAAACACCTGGCACTTAGTTCTCAACTCGATGGAAGACAATGACCTAGCTCTTATTTCCATTGCCGCGCTGGGTGCTCCTAGATGGAGAGTTTTTGTACCATCTAAGGCTTATAACAGGAGGAAATGCAAGCGAAGCTAAGCGCTGAAGATTTAGGGCCTGCTGCCTCTCACTGGAGACATGGGGTCACAAACTAAGTTGTTGAAATTTTAGATTATTCCATAGTCCATTTGCTTTTCGTGCACCACTCAGATAATTCCTAATTTTACACAATGACTATAGGGGACCACTGGAGTCTGATGGTATTTAGGATCTGATCTCACGAGTTAATGATGACATGAAATCTAACAGTGGTGTCGACTCTTCAACTTTACTTAGGCTGCACAACTCCATAGTCAGGGATTGGTACATGTCAACTGGTACTCAGGCATATAGTGTAAAGTATTCTGATACAAATTTTACTACTTCAAGTTTGTTTACCTGTAGAATGGACATCAAAAGATCCATTCGGAAGGGTCATTGGTGACAGTGTAGAAATGCACCCGGCTCACCCCATCCGCTCTGTGGCAGCCACACTTTGCAGGGTTACTGAGTGCATCCAAGTACTTAATTCTAGGTCTCCTTTTGACTCTGATAATCCCTCTGCTAAAAAAGTCACTGCTAAAATTCTAGCTTTGCATTTAAGCAATGGATCACTGGGTGTGGAAAAAGGGATGGAGTGTGAAAGGAAAAATGTCCTTTGTTCTCTGTGCAGATGCTATGCTAGGTCTTTAAAACTGACTGTGGCACAAGCAGGTATTCTGCTTTTCTCTCCTCTAGTAAGAGGGGACAGAGTCTGGGCAGTGAGGGGTGGTGGCCTGGGAGCTGCTCTTGGAGTCTGAGTGCCCACAGCCCTGCTTCAGACATTCGATACAGCACCTTGTCTCCTGCCTCTGCTGCACTTCCACTCCTCCTACATGGACTCAGAGGTAAGAAGAAACACTCACATTGCAGCTCACAAGGAAATGGGTCCAAGAGAGCTGGAGTGAATTCTGCGCTTGAGGTCAGTCATGTTGAGGCTGGTCAGGAGAAAACGAAGAAATGGGAAAAAGGCTCTTGAGCGATAACTGCCAAACACATCCTATATTTTAAAAATGCTTTTATTGAATATTAATCAATTACAAGTACTGTAAGTTAGACATTAAGCCAAAGCACAAGTACAGGTTAAATATAATCACAAAGATGTTTTAAATAGAAACCCACCATGGAGGCAGGCCAAAGTTCATTGATGCCCTCTTTTGGAAGTAAGCAGAGTGGAAAAAGATCTTCCATTCCAGGTGAAAAATAATGAAGACTATTAATGAAGAATTTACATGCTGTAAGTGACTTTCTGTGACCGAGTCAAGAGAGTTGCCAGATTGAGAAAAGCAAGTGTAAAAACAAAAAACAAAACAAAAAAAGAGCTCAGTTAAACTTTAATTTCAGATAAATAACAAATACTTTACCTGTAAGAATATGCAAATACCATATGAAACATACTTAAGCTGAGAAACTGCTTGTCTAAAATTCAGATTTAACTGGGCATTGTGTATTTAATCTGACAATCTTACAAATACACAAATGCAAAACAGAAAGATACAGAGGTTGAAACCCCCTGCCACTGTAGGGGGAATTAAAAACAACAGCAACAAAAAAAACCCAAAGGTCACTACATTGTTTACTTACACAGACTAACATCACAACGAGAAAATACAATTACTATTCCAAATGCTATTGCCAGAAAAATTCTAGATTTCCTCAAAGCTGGTTTTGTAAATGTTTTGAGAAACTTTATTCACTGAAGTACCGTTTTAGTTTTGTAGGTATCAAAGACAAATACCACCACAAAGATAGGACGAGCACAAAACGAGGGGAGAAGCAGTGTACACACATGGAGTCTGTGCAGTGGACACGATTACTGTATGGTCGAGGTCACCTCGTAGGTCAAAGGTCAGCCTCGAAGATCTTGGCTGCTTTCTATCTTTCTTCACTGTGGGCTTCCTAGTTCTCCCTCCTGATCTCTGGAGAGGCAGGAGGGTATATGGGACTCTGCCCTGCTACCAGGGTTTACAGCTTTGCTCTGAATCAGTAATGGGCATTCAGGACTGTTCACAGATGTGGGCAGACAGATAAAAAATAGAACCATCTGGGTTCTGAAGGATGAGAGAAAACTGAAAGGAACTGTGTATGTGAGCGCAGGTATACAGTGCGGGATAGATAGGGGAAGAAGGTGGGGTCACGAGGCCATGCCTCACAAGGTGGGTGCTACCTCACAGGAGGCAGACCTGGGCAGAGATGTAAAGTGGTGACAGCATGACTGCTCTGGCCTTAGAGCATATAAAGACTTCAGCTTTCCTACAGATTCTCACTTTAATATCTCATAACATATAATTTAAATGATTAAAAAATCTGTATATCACTCAAATTCTAGACAGCATCACAGTTGTTCCTATAGCCACATATACACATCTTCATAGACTTTGAGAGTGTTCTAAATATTTTTCCTAACCAAAAATCTGGTTGCTGAGGAATTTCAGGTTGGAGAAATTGGAATGGATCGATTATATCAGCTCCATTGTTGCATGTCAGAGAGTATAATTTACGCAGTGTGCCCCAATAATATAAGCTCAACAAGTACGAAAATGTGCGGAGACATGCCAACTTGTTGATGCCTTCCAAACACTAAGAAATAGAATTACAATGTTGCATTTATTAGAAAACAAAAGGTTAAAGTTTCTGCCACAGTTAAGGCTTTCTTAAGCTGAAGTATTTTAATTGCAGAATGTACAAAAAGTTTCCAGGTGGTATATTCTGAATGGATTTCCTTTTAATATGCTGTGTCTAACAATAACTCAAATACTACTTTCTGTCATTCATTTGACATTAATCAAACTTAACTGCAGTCTTTAAATAAATTTCAGGTACATGAAACCCTATTTTAATGTCAAATTTGAATATCTGCTGAATGTTGAAAGTCCATAGCTCTATGCAACACAACTAGCCTAACAGAAAACACGGTATGATGGCTGAGTGTCATGGAAGCCACACAAACAGGACGCGGACATGCTGAGGACAGGCGTTGCAGACACGCACCACTTCAGTTTGGGAGGCATCTACAGGAATCCAGACAGTGCCCATGTTTCACAAAAGAGGGGAAGCAGAGTCCAGTAATTCCTCATGCCATTGGGAAATACAGTGACATAGACAAAGGCCTAGACGACTTTATTGCATTTGAATGTTGTTTCCCATCATTAACAAAACTTTCATTTTTCGTCTAATTCCTATGATAACAGAATGTAAATCTATTTATTTGCCATTTTCAGGTATTTTGTGCATATTTCAATGCATTTTGCTATTGTGAGAGCAAAGAAAATTAGTCTAGCATCAAGTTCAAAGGAGTAAAGGATGCTATTTCCTGAAATATCCTAATATTGTTTACTCTACTTATGTCGCTGAAAAGCTAGACATTCTGAACTCCACGAAAAGAGTAAATAAGAATCCTGGGTGCACTAGGCTCCATGCTGTCATTTTTTACCCAAGTGGCAGAATCTTCTGAACAGAGAACAGGTGAGGCCTAAATCCAGTTCTGGCTGTGATGTGAAAATGGAAAGGGATCTCGATTCTTTATGGAAGACTCAAAGTAAAGAATGAACCGTTTAAGCTTTTTTTATTCCAGACTAGCAACTTGGGGAAAAGCAAAGGTCCAGTAGATGGAGAAAAGTGTCCAGAGCACTTATTTTATGCCTGAGTTAAGGATTCCATTGGCCACAAGTGAATTGGAACCCTCAGATCTAGAGAAGCCCTTTGATTCAGAAGTAAAGCTGTGGAGATGCCCGGTTCTCTATTCCGTGTGGCTTGGGAAGCAGAGGGGTCATTTGAGCGGAGTCCTGAACTTAGTAGTGTTGTTATATAGTGTAAATTCAAGAAATAGATTTCAGCCCAATTTAATGCCATGATTTAATATTTTAGAAGGTTCTCCATATTGGTATAGATGTAAATTTTGGATGTAATTTTTGCTAATTTTGATGAGTATACTGATGATGACCTTTGGTTTTCAAGTTCTGAAAAAATGTTTTTGGCTCCTGTGGTATGTCCATTAATTTTCTCTCTTCAGAAAATAATATATGCACAATCTTCTCTCAAGAACTACAATACAGCCAAACTGTTACAAGACCAGAGCACTGCATATGTTTTCTGTATAGACAGAACCTTTACTTGGCACACAGAACAGCAGACACTGAACACTGGTAGTTTAAATAAGGAACCACAGTTTAACTTCTCAAGTGTAAGGCCCAAGTTTAAAACTAGCACATCCATTCATCTAGTGAGTATGATGGCAATGACACAACATACAACCACAGTCTGGTAGTGGTTTACCTTTTTAATGACGCTATAAAGCTTTCCATATCTGTTCCATATTAACTCTCACTTAACTAAAAATTACAGCTGTGTTTATCATTTTAAACTATGTTGGGAGCAGGGGCAAAGTAATACACACTTGACAGCTACTGAAAGCTACAAAGACTGCAATTTCTTTAACGCTGTGTTACACACAGGAAAAAAAGAAGAGAAAGAAGAAGAAAAAAGCCCTCTTAATGAATGTCAAATTTTGAAGCTTTATATGGAATTCTAATGTCATTAAACACACAGCCAAGACATAAACACCAAGTTTGGGTCACTGAAACTTCAATAGAAGCAACAACTGGGCCAATTCTTGATTTAGTTTTGAGGGCCCATCCAAGATTCAGCTACAAAATTCAAACAAACTAGCATAATGCCTAGTTCCAACGGTGAACTTAAGCCAAAAAAGAAAAAGAAAAGAAAAAGGTAAAGGTAGATGTGCATTTTGACAACCTATTTCTAGATTTCTGCAAGTAATCACTTGTTTCATTTCTGGAGGTTAGAAGAGGTCCCAGCTGAAATGGCCTGCATTAAAAACCCCAATTAGTTTCCAGGACTCTAAACTGAAATGGTAAATTGGTATCACACAGTTTTCCCACCAAGTTTATATTGCTTTTGCTCCAAGGTTGAGGAGATGTATGGCATGTCGTGTAAATAAATTAATACATTTAATTCAAAATTCAGTTAAGGTGAACAGGGCAAGTGTAAGAACTGTGTCAGACAATTTCTTTGTAAGTGTCAGTGTGCTCTTGGCAAATGTTGATTAAAACAAGCAGTACTTTCATACACACAAAAGAAAACAAAATCAAATAAACAAACCAGTATGATATTTCTCTATCATCTTCATTTAGAAAAATAACTGAAAGGACTTTGGTTTCAATTTTTGTTCTCTTTGTCTAAATATATCCAGAAGTTTGAAGAAGTGGTTTAAAAATTTAGAACAGAGATTTTTTTTTTTTGTTGTTTCTTTTCTTGCTTTTGGTGCTGAGGACTGAACCCAGAGCTTCCAGCATGCTAGGCAAGCATTCTACTGCTGAGCCAAATCCCTAGCCCTTTAGCACAGGGATTTTTATAAACTATTTGAAGCTTGCCATTGAAAATAACCCCAGATCTAGAATAAAAAGTTCTTGCATTTGTGTATATCCATCTACTACATAGGATTGAAATCCTAGATTTCTAAAGAGACAATAAAATAATATTTTGGGGACTCTAATGATGTACAATAATTCCATTGACTTTGGAAATAAGGCAGCTAATTTGGGGGTGACAGTTCTGGTGGCAGGGATTCAGTGAAGGGAAGTGTGTGTTCTCTGGGGCGTGCCTGACTCTGGGGCTGCAGTGGCACAGAACCACACGCTCCTCATCCTTCTTGATGCTGCTCCTGCAACAGCTCCCAGCAGCTTCCCCGGGTGAGGAAGGCCTTAGCCGCCTGCTCCACTCTTTCCTGTGATTTCCAGCTTTGACCCGAGTGCCCTGCGCGGGCTGTCCTGGCAGGAGCAAGGGGCTGTTCCCAGCTCCGACTCCTCTCTCCTTGGAGCTGCTAAGTCAGGTTATATTTGTGCCTTCCCTGTAAGACGGGCCAATTCATAAAAGAAAACTAAAACTTGATGTTTCTCCTTTTCATCTCAATTCATGTTAACAAGAAGCACAGATACACAAAGAGTAACAAAACAGAAGAAGGAGAATCTTGCGCAGCCAGAAGCTGGGGTTGCATTGTTATGATTTTAGTCAGTGTGACTTTGTGCAAATGATCCTCAGGAAGGAAGGTTCTGGCTCATTTTCAAAGTAAAAGTTAAAAACTAACACAAAAACAAAAAACAAAAACATGCCAATGAGGCATATCTGCAAAAAAACTAAAAATAAGCCTGCATTTGTATGTATTTGCTATATACATGAGCCACATTTAATAAAGCAAATGTAGTGTGTGAACTGTGAGCATTTGAAACAGTATTGTTTGTGTTTCCTCTTCTTCCATTTCCAAGTCTAGATCAAAACAATCTTGCTTTAGAAATGGATACCTGTGATGAAAATGAGCCTGAGATATGTTAAAAGGCCACCCCTGTAAACATTTCCTCAAAGGGAACAGTAGTAGTTGAGTATGTATCAGTTACTCATACTATATTCATCACTATAGCAATGCTTTATAAAAGACAAACAGCTTATTTCTAGGCTGTCAGGGATTAAGAATATTGATTTTTTTTGTTGAAACAATCCACGCAATCCAGTCCCAGAGTTGGATCTGATGTGGCCTTTACCAGGGAGCATTCACTAGGTCTTCTGCTCTGCAGCTGTTGAGGCCTGTGAGGGAGCTTCTGGCTTCATGATCTGGTATGTGATGAGATACTCCGGGTACGCCTGTAAGGGACAGAGACAGACTACTCACCCTGCTGTTAGGGGAAAGACCACTACAGCTTCGCTTACTGTGGGGGCTGCAGCGGTGACTGAGCCTACCCAACGTTCTACACAGACCCAAAAACTATCGCCAGCACCTGGTACAATGCCTTCTTTTTGTTTGTAGAATGGCTGCTGAAGCAGAGGAGTCAGGAGTCAATATGTGCATTTTGGTACATGCTGTTTAATGTGACCTCTGACATACACAAATTTTAGTCAGGGATATTGAAGACTCTACTGGCATGAATTTCTTCAGGCTCCTTATCAGAGTGCTGCTTACTTAGGCTACTGAATTATCTCTGTGCAAAGTTCAAAGCACTGTTTAATCCTATCAAAGTCCAGAGAGATTTCAGACATTAAACTGCATTAGTAAAAGGGATGAGATGAGGTTAAGAAAAGTCTTTTCTGTCAAGTTACTTTAAACTCCATACTGGTACTGGAAGTGACTAACGTTCTCATACTATGTAGTAATATTCCACAGAAAGCTTTTCTTAAATCTTAAGACGGTCTTGATCTGCTGTGCTGACACGTTTAGTAACTCAGCCATGCTTATGTGATGGGAAACATACCTGTTCTCCTCTGTAGATGACATACTCAGCATACGCCAGCCCATTGACACTTGGTCTACCAATAACTGAGTGATGTCCTGGTGGGGCATGGGCCATTTTCATGGTGCTGAACTGCAGAAAGGATTTCCCAAGGGTCACTCTACAGAAAAGCATTTGTCTGAAGAAGAAGAAGAAGAAGAAAACTAATGCTTTGATGGAAACTTTAAATTTTAGAATGATATAACAGTTAAATTTATTGATTAAAAATAACATAAGGCATGCTAATTTAAATAGTAGTTTCAAATTTATGTGTATGAGTGGATGGGAACTGAGATACCGATTTACCATAAACCAGTGGTGATGAACCCGATGAGCACATGTTGTTTTTCTTCTAAGACAAAAGATGTTAATGTATGAGGTTTTTTACTAAACTGCAACCTCAGTATTCAGGTTTAACTACAGGGTTGGCACTCCGCGCTAAGTATGTAGGTTTTGGGCTGCACATTGGGCACTGATCTCTAAAAGGCTCCACCACTGCTGCAAACAGCTACCAGGCTGTGTGGAGGGACGTGTCAATCAAATGCTTTCACTTTAGGATCTGCTAGGAAATCCTGATTAGGACATAAATTTGTGTGTCTAAGTTTATTCTTCATCTAGGTTCACTTTCATTACTTAGTTAGGTTTCTTTTGTCTCTGCATGAGTTACGCTTGCAACAATCTAATTTTTGGATGCTATATATCCTTAGGAATTTCTGTGTTCTTAATCAGACTCACGGTGGAAAGATGCTTCCCTCTGAGCATATGGCATATATCTTAGAACTGATGGGGACTAGAAATTTTTTCATAAAGTAACTGAAAAAGATAAAGTTCTATGATCATTAGTTATAAGACATTTAAAGATCATATGTTGTTCTTAAGGCCTTAACTAAATCCCAAGCTATTTTATTATCTTGACTTTGCAAAAAGACTGCAGTTCATTAGTTTAAAAAGAAATGTAATAAATCTTGATCTTTTTAAAGCATAAATATACTGTATGATTTTACCATTGGCCGGAAGGGAAATACTGTTTTTTTTCCCCACTGAGTTCACAAAAAATATGCTGCAATGCTTTCCTATTTCTGAATTTTGAAATGCTACTTAAAATGGTAATATTCATTTGTGTGTCATTACTGCAAAGTTGTTATTTTGGGATGGTTTTAAAGCTAATACGCCCTGCCCCCAGACAAACAGTAACACTAGACTAGAGAGGCTAAGTTGGAGCTTGCTCACTGATCCAAGCTGTGTCTTGCTCAAGTGCAGCACGAGCTAGGGGCCTTCTGTTCCACAGAGATCATCCTCAGGCTTTCCTTGATCGGACTCTGCAGCAAGGCATGTGGAGCGGGGAGCAGTGTAGCTGCAGGAGGATTCATTCCAGCCCAGGCCTGGCGGGCATGGGCCTGCTTCCACCACTGGCACCAGCTCTGCTCCCACGACTCCCACCAGCACAGAGGCTGCCCAGCCATTCCTAGCCTACCTCTAAGCCTGTATTTATTAGGAAGCAAGGATGAAAAAAACCTGTGGCTTTTACAGAGCCCAAGAAACGAATTTGATAGAGGGCAGCAAGTGTTAGACCAAAGGCCAGACGCTCACCTGTGACATATATAACAAGACCTGTCTTTGTGCGTGGGGCAGCCTGTTCCTCCTCCGATCCCATAAACATACTGGTTGCTTTTTGAGGAATTTTCAGCAAAGTAAATCCCAGCTCCAAACATTCCTCCTATGTATGCATGTCGTTCATCAAACCCTTTATGAATAATGGCATTGATGAAAGGAGAACCTAAAAATATAAATATACATTAGTTAAGCACTTTTCTAGAATCTTATTTAACTATTATACACA